GCTGGCGCACTTTTATCCCGCCCTTGCCCAACTACGAGAAGCCGTCGGGGTGGCTTTACTTCATGGATGCTCTGGAGCGCATGCCACTCTCGCTGATGCTGCGCATCTTCCGCATCGACCGCGATGTGGTGGAGAAGCTGCGCCCGCAGCTGCAGCACCCGGTGCGACAGCACTATCTGCTCCAGCAGCTGCAGCTGCAGAACTTGATCCCGCGATTCACGCTGCAGCAGCGTTACGTGGGCATGCTCCGTCTGCTAAACAACATGGGCCTGCTGCAGGTCAGCGAGCGGCAGGCGGGCCGCGACTCGCTGCAACGCTGGGTGTATCTAAACAAGCGTACCAGCCTGCTGGACACCACCACGAGCAGCGGGCACAACTACAAAAAGATTAATCCGGACCTCACCTACGAGCGCCTCACTTACGAGTTCACCAGTCGCGAGCAGGTGGCCAACTATTGGGCGAAGCTGCAGCACGTGTGCATCTACACCAAGCTGGGGTTCCTCAAGCACCGGGAGCGCAAGGTGGGTGGCAGAAAGGAGAAGCGCCTGCCCTCGCTCAGCTTTGTGCGCACGACCGACTTTGAGGAGGCAGAGAAGCTGGATGATGGCAGCGTGCCAGGGGATCAGCAGGGTGCTGCGGGCCTCAGCTCCTCGCTCTTCGCGCACCAGTTTCGTCACTGGTCGTGGGTGAAGCGCAACTCGGTGCCAGCCCCACGCTCCACTGCATCGAATGGCCGGAAGGCAACAACATCGATTCCCACGCGCAAGCGCCTCAGCTTGGTTCGGTTGAAGCCAGTGCCACGATTTGGTAAGACACGCGGTGCGAGCTCTGCGGAGACGCGCAAGCGCAAGACCGGACCACGCGACGACATCGATCGGGACGCGTTGCGCAACATGCGCACCTTGCGCGTCACGTGGTGTCCTGCCGAGGACCGCATTCTCAAGATGGGACGAGCTGTCTATTTGTTCATTGACGCTCCGCTGCCCGCCCTGGCTCTGTACAGCGTGGGCATCATTTGCCGGGACGTGATTCGCAGATATCTGAATATTAATAACAAGACAACGCAGGCCTGTGTGCGACGGCTGCAGTTCCTCATCCGCATGAAGCGCGACCAGCCGGATGTGCGCAACTGGATCTATATGATGCAATCCCACCCGGAGTTCAATGCCATCTACAATGAACGCTTTCTTCCGCAGCTCAAGCAGGAGTATCCTGCGCGCAGCGAACAAGTCCAAGCGCTGCTCATACACTTTGTGATCATACTGGAGAGGCTGCATCGCTTGATCATTAACGAGGTAGGCAGTTGTCCCACTTGAGTAGTATCTAAACCAAGCTAATCCCCTTATTTTCTGTTAAGGACTGCGTCTATCGTCAATTCCTGCTGCCCGACAACCTCGAGGACTACCGCAGCCGGTTTAGGGAGTGTGTTGGCTCGAATGGGGAACAGGACATGCTGCTCTATGCCAATCCCAAAACGGAGACTGATCTTCAAATAACTGTTGTCTTCTGCGTACAGCACAGCCTCCTGTGCTGCTCGAAGGATAAGACGCTGTTCAATCTGCAAGCCTTTGAGATCTACAAACACTATTCTGAGGACGTCTTGAATGCTGCTTTCAAAAAGGCGCGTGCAGATTCCCTTCTGGTGGCCGTCAAGCGTCGCCATATCCAGCATGTGCATCGCCTGATCTCTGGCCCTGGGCATTTGCTTAGCTCCAAGTACAAGTACAGACTAGTGTGCCAAAAGTACGGATACCTGGTCTACGAAGCCTATTACGCATTCGAGCGTCGTTTCCATGAATCTCCTGGCTTGACCAGCCTAGATTTGCCCTCGCCCAACTTTGCGCAGCTGCTGCTCCTGGGCGAATGGGTGGCAAATAATTGGTTGAACTTGACTCTGCAGCTGCCCGTGAATATACTCAATGTGGATACGACCAGCATGCCAGTCAAGACGGCAGGGTCCGCGTCCGATCGCATTTTGGACCACTATAGCAGCATATTTGACAATGCACCGCAAACGGAGTACTCCAAGCGGCTGGAGAGTGTTTGCAGTGGTCGCCCGGCCTCTCGTGTTCGCTTCCACCCCGCAAACCTTACGTATCGTCTACAGAGCAGCATCTATAATCAGCTCAATAAGCTACCCATGCGAACCATGCACTTCTTCTGCGCGCTCGATGCACTAGGGCAATCCGTGAACATTAGCTGTGCGCGACTGGAGCACGGGGAATGCCCCTTCAGCTGCATAATGCACAGTGGAAACTATCTAAATGCCGTGGAGCGCATCATCTACGAGCATCGCGCCATATTGCGTCAATTGGTGGCCGATGCACTGCCTCAAGTGGCGCTGCAGTTACAGCTGGATAGCTCCACATCTAGCAGTACCACATTGACCGTCTCCACAGGGAATCTCATAGCACTCGTGGAGCAATTAGAGCAGCACTGGCGCCAGCTGCAGCAGCCGCAGGAAGTCAAAGATCTGGGCAAGCGTTTAGCTGACTCCACGCTACACAAAAAAACAGATTGGCATTCGCTCTGCAGTGCGCTGCTCACCTACGAGGCCGGCAAGGAGGACAGCGGAGAGCGTGCGCAAGATTACGAGCCATCTCTAAACAAGGAGGAGCGTGCACGCGCACAGGACGTCTTTGTTGTGCACCTGCCCACGATCCACATGCAGGAACTGGAGCATCCGCAACTGCAGGCTAGACAAGATGAACTGCGCAAAGCTGTACTCGACAAGGTGGTCAAGTAAGTGATTTGCCGCCGCTTGCTCATCCCCAATCCCATCGGTTCTCTACCGTGCCCCTCCCTTTGCATTTTCCTAAGTGATTCTCTTTTGCTCTCAGCTCCAATTTCTTTCTCCATATCGAATGCGTTCCTCACTGTGATTTCAATCACAGAGGATATTTATATATCGTTACATTTAAGTAATCTTGCTGCTCCCACAGATGAGACATCTCACTGCCATCTTTATCTAGTCTCATATCTCATCTTCCTGTTTACTTTCAGAGCCTCCTTCTGGCGATATACCGACAACAGCTTCGAAACGCTGCTGCCCACGCTGGAAGGGCTCAACTATGAGGCACAGGCCATTCAGCAGGTGAGGGACATCTTGGAGCACATACAGGAATATCCATTGGGCGTTGAGGGCGTATCATTGCGTCGCAGTTTCCCCTTGGGCGAATTTCTGCTTGAAGCGCTGCAACAGCTGGAGGCGCATGATCTGATCAAGCGCGTGGGAGTTGCCAGCTACATGTACGTGCATAAGGCACACATGCGCAATTGGGTGGTGCACACGTTCCACATAAAGCGGCTGGAGCGGGAGCGTGTCCAGAATCGGGTGTCTGCTTCGCCGGCAACATTGCCCGGGGTGGTGGGACAGAAGAGGCAGATGGTGGATCAGAGCTTGGATTTGCAGCCAAGTTGTAGCAAGAAGGCCAGACTGGATGAGGAGCCGCAGCAAAGCAGTGGGGAAGACACGGATAGTGAGGAGGCGCTGTTGCAATGTGCACGACGTTCCAAACGCATGAAGAAATCTGAGACGAAGACGAAGACCGAAATGAAGTCGGATTCGGAAGCCCTAAGGGATGTAATTGCCATCCGGCCGCATCCCTGGATTCGAGTGAATGCTTCGCTCAATCGCCGCGTCCTCGATCGTTGGATGGGTGCCTTGCTCAGCGAGTGCATAACAAGGAATGGCTGCACTGTGCACAGCTTATTCCTTCGCTTTCCCCATCTACTGCCTGTCGACACAATGCTACTGCTGGAGCTGCTCTGCGATTTGGGCTGCCTTCGGCTCGTCGAACTGGAGCCGCCGACGGTGCATCTGGAGAGCTCCTACGACGATGACTTGCAAGAGCGCCCTGTTACGATCCTCTACGATCCCAAGTACACCTACGTAAAGGTCCAGACAGATGCCATTGGACAGCTGACCAACTTTATAGGGCTCAAGAAGTACACCTCGGAGTTTATTTAAAATATAACTAACTGTACTCCCTAACAACCCTAAAAAATGGATTCTACTTTAAGTTACGTTTACGAGTGGAATAGAAGATGAAAGAATGGACAATTAAAAGAGCAAGAAAAGTAAAATAAAATATACTAAGAGGTACATATGCATTGCATATATGAATGTCAAACCTGAAAGCCTCAGTATGTTAACTCTAACGTTTGATAAAGGAATAAAATATGTAATACGTTTCATATCATCCAAATTTTGATTTTTTCTATTTACATACATTTACTTAGAGGTCCAAATAAAAGAAAGTATATTTGAGCGCCAAGTCTATGGGATCTAAATAATATTGCAGTTTATTTGAAAAAAAAAAAAAAAAAATGCTTATCGAATGGGAAATTTTTCGAAGGGATTTGGAATAGAAGCTAATGAAAATTTTGTGGACGTGAGGCTTCTTCTCGACCCGAATCCGAAGATAGAGCGTTTGTAGTTCTCTCTCCACATGTGAAGCAATACCATGAGCAAAATAGTTTACTCATGGGCTCTACTATGTTAGAGGGGCCTGTAAAGTGGAATTAGTAATGTGTTCGTCAAACCGTTTAGTAAAATAAATCTTAGACAGCGAATAGTGCACAATTAAATGTGGTTTGCAGTACTTAAAAAAAGTGAATTGAGGTAATCTTGCATATCAGACACGATTGTATCTGCTCCAACCATTGCAGTCAATCTTCCGTCACAATTTGTATGTACGAAGCTACATAAAATGTAATACGTCTGTAGTTTCGATTTCATCTACGTTTTGTCTTCTAAAAATTTATTTGATTATCGTTCGCTTTTTCCCTCGCATTTTCGTTTCACTTTTTGTCCAAACAAAAAATACGCGATGGCGTTTTTTTTTTTTTTACCACTACAAAAGTGCATTTGTAGCTTTTGTTTTTTAATTAGCGTTTCACTAAAATTTTTTCTTAAATCATTTTTGATGTAAAATCCGCGTTGCACTTCACTTGCACAATCGAGCAGCCAGTGGTTTTTCTTCTACATTTTATTGTTGTTGTTTACCGCTTGCCACCGACGCGAGGGGCCGACTTTTGCGTCACCTTGGTGGCCTTCTGCTTGGGCGCTGATTTCTTGGCGGGTGCTGGCGCGGCGGCCTTCTTGGCTGCCTTAGCGGCGCGCTTCTGCTCCTTGGCTACCTTGATGGCCTGATCCCGTTGGGMCTTTCGCACCTCGGGTTTCATGTTGCGCTTAGCCATAATCTCGGCAAGCGAGGCACCGACGATGGCGCGCTGGAATTTCTGTGTGCGGCGAGTACGCTTCTTGGACGCCTCCTCCTCAATACCCTTACGGTGTTTACGGCGGTACAGCACAGTCCAGGTGACTTTACGGGGATTACGCTTCATCAGGTAGGAGCGCTCGCACTTCTTGTCCAGAAAGGTGAAGGTCTAAAAATTTGATACATATTGGATTTATTTGTACAAGTTGAATATATTGTTGTTGTTTACTATACCTTGCCATCGACTTTGACCATGGTCTTGCCATGGCCGGGGTAGATTTTGTACCCACTGAATGCACACAAGCCAATTCTGAAAATAAAATGTTTTGTTTAAGCATAGTCTGAATAAATACTATAGCATAACACCAAGGCACATATCTAAATGTCATATCAAATGCAAAACAATTATGGCTGCACAGTGATGTACGTATATTTTGAGAATTAATATATTTTCTACGTACTTCATCTTGCTGGTCAAAAGTGAAAAGAAACGGAAGTTGATGCGCAATTTGACAGCCGCTGTCACATCTGCACAGCTGATGCCCAGTGCTAGTTAGGTGTCAAAGCGCAGGGTTGTATTTGCAATGGTGCACAAGACATGGCGCCTATTTAAACACGTCGTTTTTTGACTTGATATATATTATATATTTTTATTTTGTATGTGATCGAGGCTTGTAACAACAAATTTTCGTAATATCAGTTACATGTTATATTGTGCCCAACTGTTGTTCAATTTGGCTCTTGCTGTCTTCTTCATTTTCCCCATCTACGGGTCGTTCGTCTTCATCGTCATCATCATCGGAAACCAAACGGCCAACAAGTGGATATTTTTCGCTATACTGTTGATCCCACTCCACTAAAGTGCTTCTTTGCTGTGCTGTTAGGTCACGCATATAATCGAATTCCTGATTCTCATTTCGTTCCGCTGTGAAGTTGATCAAATTCCGCGATATATCACATCCGGCCCATTGGGGATAAGCTCCAGTCTGCCCATACACTTGCTTAGCACACGATACATCGTATATATTGTAATTAACCGCGACTAGAATACGTCCATCCTCACGAGTGCCATTATATTTGAGTAACTCTTTAACAGTAAAATCACGTCGTAGCGGTGGTAACTGCGATTTTTCGTTGTCTGTCCCGTAACCAAAGAAATTACGAACGCGATTCAAATTGCGACGTTGACGTGATATGTTCACCACTTTATAGAAAACGAAGGCCGAGACGAGTAGTAGCGTCAAATTGATGGGAGTATCCTTGATGGTGTTGTATACATTATAGTACCAGGGTAATTTTGCTTCGAGCGACTTTGTCTGTCCATTCTTCTCAGACATGTCTGGCGAGCTGCTCAAATTAAGTAAATATATTTTTAATTTAAAAAAAAAATCTTCACTCACCCAATGATCTATGATCTGGTATCTACATGTAAAGACAGAATAAATTTGTACTCCAGAAATAATATATGACAAGTTGAAGAAGCCTGCTTTAATTGAAATTGAAATTTGAAAATCTGGAAAAGGGTAAACAGAGTTGTAGTACGAGTTAATATTACCGTTTTCCAGCACTGGGCCGACAGCAACGCTGAATCTGCAGCCCTGCTTTCCGTGAATTGTCATCGCAGGCGAGCCCGCAGTATAGTCAATAATTTCGAAAGTAATATACGAGTACATCTATTTGCAAATCAACGAGTCCAAAATGTGCCTAATTTTGTGTGACAATTTATTTTTCGTGCAATTTTGTAAATTTACCGCAATTCAATAATTATTGTTTGTGAAAATATGTAAATTAGTATCAGTTATTGCGACGCATTCAGCATTGATTCGTTTGGCTTGTTAAGTGGCAGGAAAATGGTTGCAGATATTGTAAACAATATACGATGGAATGCGACAATTGCGTAGCTCGTGATGAATTCATGCATTGCATAAAAGCAGGCAATTTTTTATTAAATTAACGTAATATATAAAAAAAAAAAACTTTTTCACACTATTTCCTGTGAGGTCTTGTTTTTATAAAGCCAAATTTAGCTGGCAAAAAGCTAGTTCCAAACTAGAGCAGCACTTGTTACATGCACTTTTATTTTAGTGAGTTTGCTTAGCTTTGTGATTGCACTGCTGTTGTTAATGTTTTTTTTTTTAGTTTGACATTTTAACGTACATGTATTGGCAATATGGATCTAGAGGAATTTCTAGCGCTAGAGCGCCAGCAGTTGGAATTCGATCGCCAGCGTCTGGCTGCAGCTAGCAACACTCTTCAGAATGGTGCAAACAATTCGCAGGGCGTTTGTCCTGCCACCTTGTTAATGCAAATGGAAGGCTACAAGCCCAAGCAATGTCAGCGCATGGCCAACAAAAGCCACAGCGAGTGCAATGAACTCGAAAAGGCCTCGAGCTCGGCCTTAGCAACGCCTAACCGTAACTCCGACCTGCAGCTACAGTTGAGCGTAGAGGAGAACTTGCCGGAACTGAAGCTGGAGCAGGAGCCGGAGCAGGAGCAGGAGCAGGAACAGCGGCACCAAAGGAACCCATCCGCCACCTCACCACTTAGCCTAAAGTCGGCCAAGGAATTTGTGAATCAGCGCGAATTGCTTATTGGCAGCGCGCGACAATATAAATCACCAAATACGACGTATCGTAATTTGGAAAGCGAGCGACCGCAGAGCGTGAATCGTTTGCCAATTGGGAAGCGAGCGACCGGCGTAAGTGATTAGGCATGGATAAGAGAGAGGGACGGTGTCTGCGTTTTGGTGCTTGCCAATTTCAGTTGTTCACGCTCGATTGGCGAGACGCCCAAAACGTAGCGCTCGTAAGATTATCCATAACTATGCGAATGTCTTTACGGCTCGTTGAGCCGCTACGAGTGCACGGAGCAGCGCCCACAATATTTGGCTTTAGTTGTCAGAGGCTTTTCAAAGTGAATCGAGTTGGGCTTTACCGAATTGTGAGTGCGTTTTACCTAATTAAATGGGATATTTTGTTGAAACACGACTCTTACATTTGTTCAGTCTGTTTAAATAAGTTCAAATAATGTTTAGGATATCGAAAGGAAAACGAGAATTGAATACATATATTGATTAATAGTCAAGTTGATTCCACCATATGTGTCTGTTGGACACATTTTTAGAATTTAGAGACTGTTGCTGAAAAATCTCAATGAATTCTAGCTTTTCTCTATTTCTGTCGACATTTATTTTAGATACATTCCAATTTGCCCGCTGTTTATTAAGGTCAGAACAGTGAGTATTAAATTAGGCGCGCTCAGCTTTATTTGCTTCGGATTGAAATATCACCAGAAATATAGTTGGTTTTCATTTTTCACAATTCACTTTTCAATTTTGAATTTTAAATTTTTCATGCTTCGGTTTCGCTTTTCAGCATGCATGTTCATAATAATGGCAGCTCATGAGCCTTGCGAGGACAGCAGAGTCAACATGCTCTATGGTGGGCTAACTGGGCTAATGGGTTTTTCGACTTTGTTATTTTGTCTTAACACAGTCACAGTTTCAATTATTAAATAATTCAATTTTTAACTTTGAAGCGTAATGTCCTTCATGCGTTGGGCCTCATGAAAGCTTAATGCCCTTTACACTGTTACTATTCTTGTTTTCTATTGTTGCTGTTGCTGTTACTGTTGTTCTTGTTGTTGTGGCTGTTCTTCGTGCTCCAGTTGGCATTTTGGCTGAGCGTTAGCGCCAGCTCGCCTGATGAATTTCGTTTGCGCAGCTCAGTTGTAATTTGAAGCTCGTTTGTTGCGTTTGTTGCTATTTTATTTGTGGCCTGAACTTGAAAAGCTGCTGAACAAATAAACTCGTTTAATTATAACAACCAACAACAACAACACACARTCATATAGGTGAGCAGCAGGCGTGGCATCAATACAAATTGTCTCTAATTAAAACGAAATGAAAAGTGTAATGAAAATGCCTTAATTAAAGCAACGCGCAGCTATAAAGAAAACCAACGTAGTTCCAGCAATGTGTGTGAAATACCGGTAGTATAAGAGAGTGAGGCAGAGAGAAAGAATTTTATATAAAATGCAGGCAAAAAAAAAAAAAAAAGAACACACGACTGGAGAAATTGCTGCGTTTTAAAAAATATTTAGCATGGTTCGAACGTATACCCTGCCTAAGTATGGGCATATCAAATGGTTGAAGTGTTAAGTTCTTAATGACAATCGTACAATTTATGAAAGCAGAATAAATAGCAGTTCACTTCATTTTGTTGTACATCAGTTTAGTTAACTTAATTAGCAACTTCGAGCCCCAAGTTGTGTGAGCCCAATCTTCGCATAAATCTATAAATGATCTAAGCCTTTTGTTATTAAGCCTTTTTATGATTAATGCAATTAAAAGATGTATGTATGCGCATGTAGTCTATATCTCCTCATGCTATTCCCTAAATATTTGTACATAGTAGGTTTAGATGGCTTCGTGGTTGCTTTTTAAGCTTTTTAAGTGCTTGCATTTTTTAGCAATTTTTTGCAATTTTTTGTTTGTTTGGTCAGTGCATGAAAACTGAAAGCGTTTGGTCATGCAATTTCCGTCCACAAAGTGCATTGTGCCATATTTGATTTGACGTGCCGCGGCACTTGCCCCTAGGCTCGGGCACTGCGGCGTGTTTAGGGGCTGGTCATTTCCGCTAAAGCATTTCATTGCCAATAGCTAATGACAATTTTGTATATGGATGATTGATGAGGTGAGCTAAAAGCTCATCAATACTCCTATAGGTCCCTAGCAGTCACAGGGTCTGGAGCAGGAGCACGAGCAGGAGCAGGGCTCAGGCCACTTAAGTCATTAAAGCCATAGAGAAAGGAAAACGAAGAAAGGGACGCGACCTGAACAAGGTCAGTTATATGAAAGTCCCCTAATTAATTGTTCAGCATTACGAGTGCGCGTGTGTGTGTGGGTGAGTGTGAGTGTATGCGAGGCCTCTATGCGATTTAGATTTTTGTCATATCGCTGCCCGCAGCTAATGAGTCGTTAAAGCTAATTTGGAAAGCGTGACACCAGACGCTTTTCACTCCCACTGCAGGATATTTTTGTTTTTAGTTTTGAGCGCCACATGCTTAAAATTCCATGAAATGGCCTTGAACTTATGGTGTCTGGAGTCCGCAGCATAAGCAGCCCCAAGAGGCCAGATCCTGCTGCTCGCTTTTACACGCATTTTCCTCGGCTTTCGCACTTTTCGCGCCCACACTAAAACAAGTTTACCCACTTAGTTAACCTAATTCGAACGGGACACGCAAAGTGGCGCCCCAATGAATGGACGTAGTAAAAGTTTGATAACGCCAACGCAATGGCTGAATAACTGGAATCGTCTACTTAAATGTATGCCAAAGCCTTTACTTTCTATACAAAAGTCGTTGGCTCTAATTTGATTTATAAAATCAGTGGAACAGTAAAATGATTTTCCCTTCTTGTCTCATGGAATCAGAGATAGAATCAGATATCCTATAAGGAAATGAGAGATCATACTGTGAGACGAAAATATAAAACTTTCTGATCATATATATTTCTGTTGGCACAAGCACTGACACAGT